CCCAACCCTACAAACTCTAGCCAAGACCAAGTTCCATGGCTAGGTCATAATTTACATCTCTTTAAACAGCTATCTGCTACATTTGTACAAATGATATTGTAGCAACTCCGTTACCAGCTACATGACCACACATGCGCAGTTCAGGAGTTAAGCAAAGGGTCTTGTTTGTTTGTTTGTTTGTTTGTTTGTTTGTTTGTTTGTTTGTTTTTTGAGACAGGGTTTCTCTGTGTAGCTTTGTGCCGCTTTGTAGACCAGGCTGGCCTTGAACTCACAGAGATCTGCCCGCCTCTGCCTCCCAAATCTTTAAAAGATTAAAGGCGTGCAACCGCTCAGCTCAACAAAATATTATATACCTATTTTTAAAAGTAATTATAAGTGTCAAATATATTAGGAAAAAATCCATACAACAAAAATATTACCATGATAAGGACTCAACAATAATTGGTATTTTCTGTTCAAAGACTAAGCACAAAAAGCTATGTACTTTGCAAGAATTAACCTGTTTTCCCAATTGCCATGAGAATTTGTAATTAAGAACCACAAAACACAAAGCTTAGAACAGGAGGCCTGGGAACGGCAGATGGAACTTGAACCTACAGCCACAGAGCCTGCCCACTCAGCTACCTCTGTCTGAGCTTTTATGTCCTGTCTGGGAAATGAGCAAAATAATTCCCCTCATACATATAAGATGATACCAGTAAAATGCTATTTAGAAGTTACATAAGAAAGATTCAGAACCAGGCGGTGGTGGCACGAGCTTTTGATCCCAGCACTGGGGAGGCAGAGGCAGGTGGTTCTCTGTACATTTGAGGCCAGCCTGGTCTACAGAGCAAGTTCTAGGGTATCCAGGACTACACAAAGAAAACCCGTCTTGAAAGAAAAAAAAGATTCAGTAATGTTAGGTAGTTGTTAATATTATAGCAATTTATGGGGCTAGAGAGATGGCTTAGTGGTTAACAGCACTGGCTGCTCAGGCAGAAGACAAAGTTCGGTTCCCAGCACCCATATGTCAGCCCACAACTGTCTGTAACTCCAGTTCCAGGGGCTCTGACGCCCTCTTCTGCCCCCTGCAGGCACCAGGCATGTGGGACACAGACATACGTGCTGGTAAAACACTCATACACATAAACAATAAAATATTAAAAATAAAAAATACAGCAATTTATGAACTGGGCATGGTGGTGCATGCCTATAGTTCTAGTACATGGGAAGTGGAGGCAGGAGGATCAGAAGTTCAAGGCCAGCCTAAGAGGAATAGTGAATTTGAAGCACGTGCGCGCGCACACACACACACACACACACACACACACACAGTAGCAATTTATTACCTAGAAATGTATCTCAAGGCAATGGTTAAGTACATGTATAAATGTTTCACTGTTATTTATAACAATAAGAAGTAGAAAACAACTCCTCTTTTGTTGTTTTGTTTTGAGATAAGGTCTTTCTATGTAGCTTTGGCTGTCCTGGAACTCAATTATGAGACCAGGCTGACCTCAAACTCACAGAAATCCTCTGGCGTCTGCCTCCCAAGCGCTGTGATTGAAGGTGTGCACTATCACACCCCACTAATAAGCACATACTTTACAAAGAGGTCACACTATAATGTGCTTCACACTTAATTTATTTTAGGGACACTTAATTTATAATAAACATTTTCTTAAGTCAATAAATATTCACAAACATTTATTTTTTGAAGACTGAACAATACATTTTTTATTAATTGATCAATTAATTCATTTTTCCCCAGCCCAATCACAGGTTTCCCTTCCTTCCTCCTCTCCTCCCAATCCCTCCCTTCAGCTCCCCCACCCCATGCATTCTCTCTCTCCCTTCCCTTCAGAAAAGTGCAGACCTCCTATGTATATCAGCCAGTCACAGCATGTCAAGTTGCAGGAAGACTAGGCACCTCCTCTCCTATTAAGGATGGATGAGGCAACCCATCAGGAGGAAAAGGTCCCAAGAGCAGGTAACAGAGTCAGAGACAGTCCCCGCTCTGTCTGCCGAGAGTCCCACAAGAGGACCAAGCCTTATATTCTTAATGATTATATTTCATTATATGAGTATAGGACAGTGAGTATAATCAATCTAATACCATTGCACACTTAAGATGATTTCTAATAGGGAAGTGGGGTACATGTCTTCAGTCTCAGGACTGGGAAAAAAGAGACAGGCATGTCTCCAAAAAATTATGTTTGTAGTTATAATTATAATTATAATAATTATATATATTAATAATAATAATAATAATAATTTATAAATGATATACTCTATTTAATATGGATGGAAAGATAGAAGACAGTATGCAGGAAGGACATACAAAAGTGTTATTTGTCAGCACAGGCATGTTCAGAGAAGCAAAGTTCCTAACAGCCCAAAGGTTAAAGAAACTCAAATGTCACCAGCAGATGAACAGATAAGAAAGTCCAGCCAAAGAAATGTTTCTCAGCTCTACGGAAGAATGACACACGTTACAGCATGGGTGAACCTGAAATCATTACACAAACTGAAAAATGCTGTGGGACCCACGAAGGGGAGGTGCCCAGACCAGCCTAATTCACAGGGATGAGATGTAAATCAGGTTACCTGAGCTCTAGGGAGGGGAGAAGGGTGGATTGTCTAATGGATGACCTTGCAGTATGGGAGGAAGTAAACAATTCTGGAAGGGTAATGAGCACACACCATTATAAACATACTAATGACACTAAACGGTATATGTAAAAATGGTTAAGATTATGAATTTTATGCTATATATGTTTTATCAGAATATAAAACAAAAATACATTTAAAAACATGATTCACAACACTCTAAAAAGTGTTAGAGGTTATAGCTAGCCTGTTCTGTTATCTATTACTTTCTATGAAAAATATAAAACTTCATTAAAAAATAGTTGTGGAATATCCTAGGGTTCCTCAGAATAAAGAATGCACACATACATAGACGGTATTTCTGCCATGTATTGTGAATGGAACAAATAAACTCAACACAGCATAATCTACAAAGGAAAAGTTGTTTGATTACCTAGCATGAACCCTGTAGCTTGGCAGAAATCTATTCCAGGAAAGCAGTTCCTGATGAAGCATGGGGAGGCCACGGGTGTCTGGGGAAGCAGATGGGAAGCATGGGGAGACCACAGGTGTTTGGTGCTGAGGTGGGAGTACTTCTTCTTCTTTGCATGCCTGCATTTTAGTCAGTCTACAAATGAAATTTCAGATATTGATTGATTTTGCTTTTGATCTTAGTTAAAAGGCAATTCCTGACTGATTTTGTAAACTTAATCACATAAATGTGTAAGTTAAACCTAAGACACACCTTTGATTTGGTGTGGCTTGTAATTAGGCCTGGCAGATTCCTATACCACCAGCAAAGACTAGGTGACAGTTCAGAACCATGACTGAGAGATAGGGTCACCTTGGTTGTGAGCAGGTAATTTAGAGCCCTCTGCTGGCCTCACTGATACTCAGCTGTCCCAGGGAACAGCATTGCCAGGGCACCCAGCGGAGACTGTCTCTACTATGTGGTGGAGACTAGTGGTGAGGCAGCCGGGAGAGCTGAGGGCCATTGGCACAGGAACCAGACCGGTGCTCACAGACCTGCCCTGGCCCAGAAGCCTCTGAGTGGGATCCAGGGAGGGGCACCATTGTGGTTTGGGTCAAAAGTGTTTGGTTGCCCCTATTGGACTTCTGGGAAGTGACTGGATCAAGAGAGCTCTGACATCATCGGTGGATTAGTCCATTCCGGGTCTGTTGGGAGGCATGTGAGACTGAGGCCACAGCCAGGCATAGTGATACACCTTTCTAATCTTAGCCTCTGGGAGGCAGAGACAGGAGCGTCAAGGAACCTTCAGTACATAGTAAGTTCAACACCATTCCTATAATCTCGGTACTCAGGAGGCTGACACAAAAGGATTGTAAATTCAAGTCAGCCTGCCACATAGGAAAACCCTGTTGATGAATACAGAAAGAGAAAGAGAGGAACTAGGAGATGGGACCCAGCAGAAGGAAGGGATCCTTGGGGCATGTTCTTAGGACCCTTATCCTCTCTCTGCTTCCCAGTCTCTATAAGGAGAGCAGCTTTGCTCTGCCACATTCTGCCAATCATAACATTCAACCTCAAGTGAAAGCAATGGGCGAAGGGCTAATGTCTGGTTTATAAACCAAAGTAAATCTCTCCTCCTTTAAGTGTATTTTTTGGAATTTTATTACAGCAACAAAAGCTGACTAACAAGCAATAGCAGATGTGAATCCTGCTAGGGCACCCTCACTTCTCTCCTCCCAGCCAGACTGCTCCAGCTCTTCATCCTTCCTTCTTGACACCCTGATGACTCCCTAGCTTACACGAGCCACATCTCCCTCCTCAAAGAGAACAGGAGAAAGCACTTGATCAGTTCCTCTTGCCTGTGTCCATCAAGTCCTTCACTACTTCATTTATTAGGACATCTGGCAACCCTCCATACGACTGCATATAGTAAAAACCACAGACAACATTAGATAAGGCACACATACCTTCCAACACCAGCTTCATAAGAGAGTTCATGCACTCACTTTTCTGTCTGTGTCCAGCCCTGTGCAGGACAATGGGTCAGATTTGAATTGCAGTCGGTGCTGAGCTAGGGTGGGTCTTACAGAGGGGCCGGTTCCTGAAACAAGTAGCTCCAATCGATCGTGTGGGGCTGAGCACTGTGCCCTGCGCTGCTTCAGAGAAGAGTAGGATGAAAAGCAGCTGCCACCCTTGTGTCTTGAGAAAATTCCCTCTTCAAAGTTCCTCGTTCAGACATCACTCCTGCAGCTCTTGAAGCTCGTCTCCTCCCCAGTGACTCTAAGTGCCGAGCTTGCATCAGCAAGCCTTGGCGTGCACCAGGTAGCTCCAGAGTGTCATCACCAAAGCCAGGGCCAGCCCTGCACAGTCACCCTTCTCTCCACATCAGAGCCTTTCACCGTGCCTGTCAAGTGTGCCACCACACCACAGGGAAGACAAAGAAACCGTTCACACCCGAGAGGAAGATCAGCATGTTTATTACTGCACAGAAGCAAATACTTTCCAGTGTGAGAGGAGACAGGCAAAGCTATTGGTCTTCAAAGTAGCTGAGCCAACTCCAGAAGGAAACAGTGACAACCTAGGAAATAGTTTTACTATATTTAGGCCAAATGTAATTTTACACATAATTCTCAAACATGCCATTTTTAAAGAGTTAAATTCCTATACTTTTCCAGATTTTAAAACAAAACATGGTTTTAAGTGTGTCCTTGTCCAGCCAGGTTCCTGCTTGCTTCGGTGGGATCTGCAAGCTTACAGGAGAGTATGCTAACTTTCAATCCACCCCTTGCTCTGTGTGATAAAATCAGCTGAGGAAGAAAAGAGACAGAGGGTTAGATTTAAACACTACCTTGTACACAAAGTTGAAAACCAATACCACAAAGGAAGAACTCCAAGTTTTACTGTTGTTATTTGACTTTGTGCTTTTCTGAAACAGGGTTTTGCTGTGAAGCTCTGGCTGGCTTCAAACTCATGATCTTCCTACTTTGATGTCATGATTGCTGGAATTACAAGTGTACACTGCCAGCCCCAGCTTGGAATCACTTTAAGTGGCAACAATTTTTAATTGAAATAAGAGAATCATAGAAAATATTTCATCTTTATAGGCAGAGTTTTATTTTGGATTTAAGACAGTTTCATATAGCCCAGGATGACATCAAACTCCCTATACAGTTGAGAATGAACTGGAACTTCTGGTATTTCTGCCTCTACCACCCAGGTACTCAGATTACCTAGCTAGCATACTTGATCAAATGTGTCAAATAATAATTCTTACATTTATATTTTTGCTTGTTTGAGATAGGGTTTTGTGATTTGCTATTATAGAGTGCTGGCCTCTAACTCCTGGCCTCAAACAATTTTCCTGCCTTACGTTCTGAAGTAGATACAGGCTTAAGCCATTGCACCTGGCTCACAGGCTCTGGTCTCTATATTTTTGTGTACTATAATTATATCTGCCCAAGATCTTTCATGAGTCTTTTAGGGTCTAGGTATATGGCTTGCTGGTAGAGTCTTGACTATGGGGTTCCATCACTAGTCCATATACACACAAAAGTTCATGTTTGTAATCCCAGTACTTGAAAGACTGAGGCAGGAGAATAGCCTTGAATTTGAAACCAGTCAATAGTGAGGTTCAAGCTCAGAGGGAAACCCTATCTCAAAAGAAACAAAACAAAAGTATACATTTTTTATGTGTATGTGTGTTTTGCCTGCACACATGTCTGTACATCACTTGCATGTCTGGTGCTCTCAGAGGCCAGAAGAGGATACTGGATCCCCTGCAACTGGAGTTAAAGACTGTTGTGAGGCCCATATGTGTGCTGGGTGTCACCACTGCCCAGCTCCAAATACAATCTTTTAAACATATGTTTTGAAAGACCCAATATCATTTTATTTGAGGAAAATTTGGTGTACATGAATCAAATCTGGAAAACTTTATATATGTTCCCATGAATCAAACAGGGCTAGAAGGATGGCTCAGTGGTTAAAAGTCCTTGATGCTCTTGCAGAAGACCCTGCACCCATATGGTGGCTAACAACCATCTGTAATTCCAGATCCATGGGGTCAGTTGCCTTTTTCTCCACAAGTGCTGTACACACATGCTTCATACAGACATGTAGGCAGAACACCCATACACATAAAATAAATATAAACAAATGGTTTAAAGTGATCAAAGTCATTAGCAAGGTCATGTTTGTTCTTATGATGATAGAACAGAACATTTTGTGGGTTCATATGAATGTGGGGAGATGCAACCTATGACTAACTTCTCTCCTGGGCCTGGGACCCATGGTTACTACAACCTGAAACCCAAGTTCTAGAAATATTGGTGAGGCCATTGCCGACTCCATGTCTGCAACGTATTCAGATTAAGCTTGAGGCCACTAGAAAGAGACTATCTGGAAATAGTACAGCCCCTTTGAGGCTGCAGTGGAGTAGAAACAGCATTCACAAGGACCGCAGTAGTGGTCATCAGAGTTATATCAAAGTGCTGACATTCTACTCCCATCCTCTGCCATTTGCAGAGGTTGTACAGATAAGAGGACATCATTGCTCTGACCACTAATGGCACGTGTGCTCATGAACATGTTTGTCCATTTCCTCAATACTAAGTTCTAATAGAATAGATATCAGCAAATACAAACTGGAGCTCAGCAACTTAGGATTACAAGAGAAAACACTGAAAACATAGCAGGAAGGAAGGAAGGAGCACTGGCTGTTGTCCTCTCACTAGAGTGTCTCTCAGGAGTAAGTGCTGGCCTTTCACAGTTGTAGGATCACAGAACTACACAGGCTGAGTGAAGTGAACTCACATCCGGGGACTGCACAGCTGAGGAGAGGCGACACTGGAGTTCACACCTCGTCTCTGTTGGCCCAGATGCAGGACGCTGCACTGCTGTTTTACAAGCCTGGCTCATCAAAGGGCAGTGCACACAGGCAGGCGCTGTGGTGTCTGTCGCCTTGTTCTGACGGTATCATTAAAGGGCATTTCTTCGCTGGCCTATTTAGTGTTATTGGTAACTCCCTTTAGTCTATGACTATTTCCATTGTTTCCATGACAGCCAAAACCTTCTGCACATCTAGAATTGAGAACTATTAATGGCAACACACTCCTGAGCTGGGGCGCTACTTCATAGGGCACTTGCTTAGCATATGAAAGGCCCTTGGTTTTATCCTCAGCTCTGAGAAAAATCTTCATGAAGAAAAATCTCCCATGAAGATTGTTTTACTGCTTGAATTTATAAAATAACACTACTTTAAAAATACACTCACTTTTACATAAATTTTGCTTCTTTCCAAAAGAAACTGCCACTTCAGTTTCGTTTTCTGTTCACTTGTCATTGCAAGAAACTCATTTATCTGGTGAAAAAGAAAGATCACATAGGTGTTTCTGAAGCAGACATGGATAACTCACTTGACAACACTGTGAAGCACACTTGCCCACTAGAAATGGAATTTGACTCACAGCATTACAGCTCAGTTCCTTTGACAGGGAAAATAAAGCGTGGAAAACTACCACCAGAATCACTGAAGCTAGTCCAGGGTTCAGCAGAAAAAATTTCTCCCAATAAATTGGCTCAGAATTCTGAGTCAAAATCTAATGGTTAGTTTTATGATCTGTCTTTGTTTTGTTTTCTTTCTCTTCTCTTATTTTTTTGTTTTTTGAGATAGGATCTCATATAGCCCAGTCTATCCTACAGACTCACATTGTACCTAAGGATGGCCTTGAACTCATGATCCACTTGCCTCCGCCTCACAAGTGCTAGGATTACAGATATGTGCCACTATGCTCAGCTGTGACCTGGTTTTAACAAATGTGTGCCCGTCTCCATGTATCTGCTGCTGTTCTATAGCTGCAGGACTGGGACAAAATGTGAACTGGCTATACAGCTGGATAGGAGATATGGCCAATACAGATTCCCAGAACAGCCAGTGCATGCCTGAGCAACAACTCCAATATGTCTTACCCATTATAATTGACTATATAAAATGTCATATTTAAGCTGGGTGGTGGTGGCAGAGGCAGCAGATATCTGTGAGTTCAAGGCCAGCCAGGTCTACAGAATGAGTTCCAGAGCAGCCTGGGCAACACAGAGAAACTGTCTTGAAAAACCATTAAAAAAAAAAAAAGCAGGACACTGTCCTAAAATGTCATATTTAGTCCTCTGTTTTTCTGAATGCCTGCCATTACTCATAATAGTCAAAATTAGTTGAAATTTTAATAGATCATATAGTCATTAAAATTATATTATGTTTAGGGCTGGAGAGATGGGCCAGTGATTAAAAGCACTTGCTGCTCTTGCAGAGGACCCCAAGATCAGTTCCCAACACCCACATGGCAGCTCACAACCATCTTTAATTCCAATTCCAGAAGGTCAGATGCCTTCTTCTGACCTCTATGGGCACCAGGCAGGATGTGATGCACAAATATACATGCAGGCAAAACCCAATACACATAAAACACAACATTTAAAAAGACAAATTTAGAAATACACATGCTTAAACCAAGATGGCTTTTCCCAAGATTTCTATTAATTAGTTTCTATCAAATGTTCAACAAGATAATCTATGTTTTAAGGGAGACTATTCAAGAATATTAGAAATATCTGTATCTATTTCTTCCTGTCTGCTATTTACCGTGCAGCCCAAAGTTTCCTCCGCAATACTTCCTGTGAGGCTGCAGGAATGGAGGGTCCCAGTGTGGTCAGTAAGATCAACCAGCACATCAAAACCGAGAAAAAACGACTGAAGTCTGGAAGAATCCTTGTCGCAAATTGTACAGGTGTTGGAGGCTTCGTTTACAATATAGCCACAGCCGGAACTGGAAAGAAACAAACGTTATTCAGAAGACAACGGTCCTCGGTGACAAATTTGATCTCTAGCAGCATTATATCTGTCTTAGTCTAATGACATTATAAAATGTTCTAAAATCCCCGAGGTTAGTATCTTTACTATGAAACCAGATACACAAAGCCATTCTGTGCCAAAACTACAGAGAACATACACACACAATGACAACATGCAAATCTGGGGACTTGGATAAGATGATCATAGTGATGACTTCACTATCCTGATGGAAGAAAGGCATTATACCTTGCAAAATGTAACTTTAGAGTGCATTGGACAAAGGGTAAGAAAGATCTCTCTGTTCTTTTGTTTGTATTGGTTTGTATTGGCTGAGAGTTTTCTGTTTTGAAGACAGGGTCTCATGTAGCACAAGCCGGCTTTAAATTCGTGGTCTTCCTGCCTCCACTTCCCAACTGCTAGGATTACAGAAGGGTACCATTACACCAGGATCTATCTCTATATTTTATTTTATTTTTTATAGTATCTTTATTTTACAATTAACTTAATTTCACATATCAGCCATGGATTCCCCCATCCTCCCTCCTCCTACCCCCCCCCCCTCCCCCCCAATTAACTTAATTTCACATATCAGCCATGGATTCCCCCATCCTCCCTCCTCCTACCCCCCAGCCCTCCCCCCAATCCACCCCCATTCCCACCTCCTCCAAGGCTAGGTCTCCCCTGGGGAATCAGCCCAGCCTGGTAGACTCAGCCAAGGCAGGTTCAGTCCCCTCCTCCCTACACCAAGGCTGAGCAAAGTGTCCCAGCCTAAGCCCCAGGCTCCAAAAGGCCAGCCCATGCACCAAGGACAGGTCCTGGCTCCACTGCCTGGGGGCCTATATTTTTTAAATAATTTTTTTATGTAATTCACATCCTAGCCACAGTTTCTCCTCCCTCCTCTCCTCCCAGCCCCTCCCACTACCCTCCTCTGTTCCCACCCCCCAATCCACTCCCCCTCTGTTTCTGTTCAGGAAGGGACAGGTCTCCCATGTGTATTAGCAAAACATGGTATATCAAGCTGCAGTAAGACTAAACACTTCCCCATGTATTAAGGCTGGACAGGGTGACCCAGTATGAGGGATAGGTTCCCAAAAGCCAGTAAAAGAGAAACGCCAGACAGTGGTGGCACACTTTAATCCCAGCACTTGGGAAGCAGAGGCAGGTGGATCTCTGTGAGTTCAAGGCCAGCCTAGTCTACAGAGTGAGTTCCAGGACAGACTCCAAAGCTACACAGAGAAACAACAACAACAACAACAAAAAAAAAAAGAGTCTAAGACAGACACTGTTCCCATTGTTAGGAGTCCCACCAGAGGCCCAAGCTACACAACTGTAATATATATGCAGAGTACCTAGGTCAGCCCCTATTTAATAGCAAGATCTGAACAATCCAAACACAGTTAAAGCACAAGAAAATGACCTTAAAATGACTTTAGGAAGATATAGAGGTCTTTAAAGAGGCTATAAAAAAAGAAAAAAAAACTAAAAGAGCTGATCTTCAGAATATATAAAGAACTCAAGAAACTAGACATCAAAATACCTAACAGTCCAATTTTAAAAATGGGCTACAGGGGCTGGAGAGGTGGCTCAGTGGTTAAGAACACTGGCTGCTCTTCCAGAGGTCCTGAGTTCAATTCCCAGCACCCACATGGTGGCTCACAGCCATCTGTAATGAGATCTGGTGCCCTCTTCTGGCCTGCAGGCAGAACACTATATACATAATAAATAAATAAATCTAAAAAAAAAAATGGGCTACAGAGCTAAACAGAGAATTCTCAATAGAAGAATCTCAAATGGCCAAAAGATATTTAAGGAGTTGCTCAACATCCTTAGTCATCAAGGAAATGCAAATCAAAACTCTGAGATACCATCTTACACCCATCAGAATGGCTAAGATCAAAAACATTGAAGACAGCTTATGTTGGAGAGGATGAGGACCAAGGGGAACACTCCTCCACTGTTGGCGGGAATGCAAACTTGTATAGCCACTTTGGAAATCAGTATGGCAGTTTCTCAGAAAATTGGGAATCAATCTTCCTCAAGACCCAGCTATACCACTCTTGGGCATATACCCAGGAAATGCTCAATCATACCACAAGGAAACATGCTCAACTCTGTTCATAGCAGCATTATTTGTATGTGGTACATATACACAATGGAGTACTACTCAGCAGAGAAAAACAATGACATCATGAGGTTTGCAGGCAAATGGATGGAACTAGAAAATATCATCCTGAGTGAGGTAACCCAGACTCAGAAGGACAAACATGGTATGTGCTCACTCATAAGTGGATACTACATGTAAAGCAAAGGACAACCAGACTGTAACCCACAGCTCCAGAGAGGCTAGCTAGTAAGGAGGACCCTAGGAAGGACACATGGATTGCTCAGTGATGGAGAAATGGATGAGATCTACATGAGCAAACTAGGGGTGAGGGGAGGTAATGGAGGGACAGGGACAGGGGATGAGAGCTTAGGGGAGCGGGAGGTTCAGCTGGAACAGGAACAGAGTGGGAGAACAAGGAGAGAGATACCATGATAAATGAAGACACCATGGGAATAGGGAAAAGCAGAGTGCTAGGGAGGTTCCCAGGAATCCACAAGAATGACTCCATCTTAGACCACTGGCAATAGTCAAGAGGTTGCCTGAGCTGGCTTACTCTGGTGATCAGATGGCTGAATACCCTAAATGTCATTATAGACCCCTCATCCAGTGACTGATGGAAGAAGATGCAGAAATCCACGGCCGGGTTTCAGGAGTCCAATCGAGAGAGAGGAGGGATTCTATGAGCAAGAGATCTCGAGACTATGATTGGAAAAAGTAGAGACAACTAGCCAAACTAGTGGAAACTGTGGACCAATAGCTGAGGAGCCCCCATGATACTGGACTAGGCCCTCTGGATAAGCAAGACAGTTGTTTAGCTTGAACTGTTTAGGGAAGACCAGGCAGTGGGATCGGAACCTGTCCCTAGTGCATGAGCCGGCTCTTTGGAGACTAGTGCCTATGGTGAGACACTTTGTGCAGCCTTGGTGCAGGGAGGAGGGGCTTGGACCTGCCTCAACTGAATGTACCAGGCTCTGCTGACTCCCCATAGGAGACCATGCCTTGGAGGAGGTGGGA